GTTACCTTTGAGTTGGTGGAAGCAGAGAAAACATTAAATCTCTTCTTGTTTCCAGATTGCAGGCCAGCATCTCTGTAGGGAAGTTTCTGTGTGTTTGACAGTCTTTTGCCCTCCTCAGTCCTGAATGTCTGGAAGCGCAATGCAGACCTGCTGGGATTTGATTCTAGCCCTTCTGTCTGCTGTGCCTGACGGGGCTGAGCCTCCCACCAGGGAGATGCTAAGTGCTTCCTCTTTGTTTAGGCTGCAAAGCCCGGCTGATGGTTTCTGCTGAAACCACTGCCACAGCTGTACCTGGGTTTCTAGTGGCTTTAACGTTCTGGGAGCTTTTATGCTTCATCTCCATACACAGACTTCTCTCCTTTGCACCGTGGACAGTCTGGCTGGGCCCTGCACGCTGCACCCAGCATCTGTTGTAAGATGGCTTTCTTTTCTATCCAGTTTTTTGAAAGACATTTATTTATTTTTCTACCAATGATAAAAGAATATTCCGGTATATTCGTGGCCAAAAATTTTGAAAATATTAAAAAAGGCATAAAAGTAAGAAAGAAGAATCACTTCCAATGACTCCTTTCAGAGACCACTGTGAATTCTCCCCTCCCTTCCTCCCTGTCTGTCTGGTTTCCACGTACTGCATGTGGGTAGGAACCAGTTTCTGCTGTGGGAATAAATGGCTAGGCAGAGGGGTGTTGGTGGCCTCTTTTCTTTTTCAACCCTTGTGTCAATGTCAAGCCTGTTCTAAACGGGTAGAGCCTCTGTCACCCTCTTGCCAAAAACACACAGGAACCCATAAAAATCCTCAATCTGGAGCAATAGGACTTCTGCAACACTTCCCCCCAAATTCAGATCTCCTCTGAAGAGCCTAAAGCTTAAAGGCATAAGCTTAACCCTGGGCTGCGTGGGAGGAGGCGGTCTGAGAACAACCTCGCATGCCAGTGAGCAGAGGCATCGGAAGTCACGTATGCCCGGCTCCAAACTCAGGGTTCCGCTGTGTTCTGTAACAGCGCCCAGAAAGGAGAACTCCCATCAGGGTAGAAATGTGAAGCGAGAACAGCGCTGAGCACTTGGGTGTTACCCAGGGACTGATCCCGCAGTTGCCGTCTCTCCCAAGAGCCCACCTCCCACCTGAACCAGTGCTTTTTTTCTGTTTGGTAAAGCCATACACATCTTATATTGCTTTGGACACACGATTCTTACTTTCTTGCAGGCTTTAGCAGTCTGCTTTCCCTCTTTTTGTGTGGTTTCTTGTTTTACTGAAATCATTTGCAAACAACGTTGAAAGTCTCCGTTATCACCCTGACGGCTTCTGCAGCATCCTCTTGCCTCCCGTGCCCCATTCACAGCTCCCGGAGAGTCTGGCAGGTGTCGTGGGGTCCCAGGATGAGCGGTGCCCGTGGGCCACGACCCCAGCCCAGCGTAGCCCAGCATAGCCCAGCCTAGCCCAGCCAATCGCTCGCCTCATCCAGGCCTGGGGATGCGATGTGCTCGTCATCTCTCCACCATTCCTTCCTTGTCTCAAAAGGCCATCGGGGAGTTCATTTTGGTGGACAAAGATGTGAAGATCAAAAAGAAAGGTAAAATCTACAGCGTTAACGAGGGCTACGCCAAGGACTTCGGCCCTGCTGTCACTGAGTACATCCAGAGGAAGAAGTTCCCCCCAGTAAGTGAGGGCCGGGGAGGGTGGGGCAGGGTCTGGGCATGTGGCACCGGGGCCGTTATGGAGGCAGGGGCATCCCCCGGAGATGACAGGGATCCTTGGGATCGAGGACCTTGGACCTCATGTGGGGCTCCTGGGCGGTGTGGAAATCTGTTGGTTGATGACGTACCTTAAAGGTGAAAGGAAGCAGGGATGGAGTGGACTGGGCTTCCGTCTACACTGAGCCCACGACGAAGGTCTCACCTCAGTACTGGGGACTGGAATTCTCACCCTGTGACATCAAAAGTCAGTCTCCATTTCAGCCTTTGCTGCTTTCTCTCGGCAGAAGAAAATTAGGATAATAAAGTTAACCGAATGAATGAATTCAGGGCAGTAAAACAGCTTCCCTTCTGGGGTCCATGGTCCCGGATGGTATGAAATGTGGCTCCCCCCCCTTAAATGCCCACTAAGGGGTATCTGCCCCCGCTAGGCCGGCCCGAGGCACATCTATCCGTCATCTCGAGACCGAGAGTGCTCATCATGGCATCTCTCTAAAGAGGTTACAAGCTAGTGAATACGAAGAGAAGAAATGGCTGTGTGTGGAGCTTGCTCTATGTCGAATATCTGATTTTGTTCTTTCTTTGTTTAAAAGCCGTTGGTGGCTGCTGTTTGCTAGAGATGAAGCTCAAATGTTTGCAGGGCGTTCAAGGAGCCTCAGATCTGCTCCAGGCTCTCTCTCCAGCTTACTCATCTCTCCTTTCACCTTACCCTGGATTCCTCTCCTGCCCTCAACCTCCGCACAGGCACACCCGAGTCCCACAGGCCCCTCCTCCAGGCCCGTTTCCCTCTCTACATTGCTAAGAAGATGCTCGTACAGTTTCCTCTCCTGTAAATTACACGCTGCCTCCTGCCCCTGCCCAGTTCCTTAGCTTGGTAACAAACTTCCTCAGCCTTTGAGGTGTTACTAAATGGCACAGTTTTTGTAATGCCTGCCTCAGCCCCATAGCCAGAACCAACCAGACCCTCGCTGGGGCTTCGGTGGGAATCTGACCTCCTGGGAGATGGTGAGACGCTGTCTCCGTTTTTCCATTTTCCATTTATTGGGAACAGGATTCTAATCCATTTTTTAGCACAGCCCCAAGTACATACCTTGTAGGTGCTTGGTGAATGGATGTGGAATCAAAGAAACTCAGGGACACAAAGAAAACTCT